ACGAAACTGTAAAACTTGCAGTAAGCTATGACTCAGCGATATACAAAATGAGGAACAGCAATAGTCCTCTTTTTAGAAGGAATATAAGAACAAACGATGAAAGCTAGAGATATAAAAATACTTCAAGCTACTTATCACAAACCCACGAACAAGGGCCAGCACCAATGGAGTTAGATAGAATGGAAAGAGAACGTCGAAAGAATAATAAACCTACAAATGAAAGAAAAAGAAGAGTAATGTTAGCCGAAGAACAAAAAGAAGAATTCAGAAGAAAAAGACTATGTTTCGCTTGTGGCAAGAAGGAACACATAGCAAAAGACTGCCGAAGCAAGAATAAGATAGACAACGAAATCAACCAAGTAGAAAAGGTAAACCTAAGAAAAAATGATAGAAACAACGAAGAAGACATTCAAAACCTCCCGAAAACGGAGAAAAAGATACAAATCGCAAAAGCCTCCTAAAAACAGAAGGAAAAGTACAAGGCCAAACCGCATTGATCCTGATAGATTCCGGAGCATCTAAAGACTTCATTGATGAAAAGTTCAATAAAAACATACAATTAAAAATAAAAAACGATGATATACCTACTGAAATCGAATTAGCAGATGGCTCCAGATGTGAATCAAAAGGGAATGTTTTGAATGTTGAGATCAAAATGCAAGGTTACACAAACTTGAGGAAGAACATAGAAGTATTACCTATACAAAATATGATCTTATTTTAGGGAAACCATGGCTTTACGACCTGAACCCAAGAATTAACTGGAAAGAAAATCAACTTACAATTAAAAAAAATAACTGAATCTATAAAGTCAAAGCAAAGATAGAAAAAAATACAAAAAAATATCAAACAAGCTTCATGTCCAGATAGCAGTTTGTCCAGAAAGTGAAAGGCACTGCAGAATTATATACTGTACTTGCCGTAGAAGATATCGAAAAGGAAACTAAATTAGAAAAAGTATCGGGGTTCTTAAAAGAATTAGTAGGACAATATCAAGACGTCTTTTCTGACAAACTACCCAAAAACCTACCGCCCGAAAGAAATGTGGACCACGAAATACTTCTTCAAGAAAGAACGTCACCACTGTATGGACCTATATACAAAATGTCAGTCCCGGAAATGAAAGAACTAAAAAGACAGATCGAAGATTACCTAAACAACGGAATAATTAGACCCAGTTCCTCACCGTATAGTGCCCCCATACTGTTTGTAGCCAAGAAGGAAGGAACGCTGAGAATGTGCGTTGATTATCGCGCACTAAATAAAATAACCATTAAAAATCGATACCTCTTATCACGCATCGATGAGTTATTAGATCAAGTACTAGGCGCAAAATACTTCAGTAAAATAGACTTACACTCAGGATATCATCAAATAAGAGTAAAAGTAGATGATGTGTCTAAGACCGCTTTTAGGACACGTTACGGGCATTTCAAATTTTTAGTTATGCTATTTGGTCTGACTAATGCCCCGTATCATTTATGAGATTAATGAACGACATCTTCCACGAACAGTTGGATAAAAGTGTTATCGTATATATAGATGATATACTAATATATAGCAAATCAAAGGAAGAACATCGCAAGCATGTAAAAGAAGTATTCGAAATTTTAAGACAACACAAGCTATACAGAAAAATGAAGAAATGTGAATTAGGGAAGAAAGAAGTAGAATTTTTAGGACACATAATTTCAAATGAAGGAGTAAAGATAGACCCCAAGAAAATTAAAACTATCCAAGAATGGCTCACACTTACCAGTGCTCACGACCTCCGATCATTTTTAGGCCTTGCAGGTTACTATCAGAAGTTTGTAAAAAATTTTGCGAACACCGCAACGCCATTGACAAAATTACTAAAAAAAGACAAAAAATTCGAATAGAAAGAACCACAAGAGATGGCATTTAAAAAACTCAAAAAAATATTAACATCTGCTCCAGTTTTATTAATCCCAGACCATAGCAAACCGTTCATACTTACAACCGACACCTCAGACGTCACAATTGGTGCAGTTCTATGCCAAGACCAAGGCTCGAAAGAACAACCAGTAGCATACGAATCAAGAAAACTAACCCTGTGGAATTAAACTATCCAATACACGAAAAGAAACTCTTAGAGATTATCCATGCACTAAAAATTTGGCGTGTATATTTAGAAGGAAACACCCTCCAAATAATAACCGACCACGAGTTGCTGAAATACCTATAATCCCAAACAAAGCTATCACGCAGACAAGCCCGTTGGGTTGAAACCCTTCAAGCATATGATTTCACTATTGGATACCATCTAGGAAAGGTTAATATTGTCGCTGATGCACTGTCAAGAAAACCTGAAGCAAATGCAATAACAGAAATTAGTATCGAAAATGATATGTACAAAAGGATAAAAAAAAAATATAAAAAAGATATCTATTTCCAAAGAATTTTAAAAGTGCTGGAAGACCCTCAGTGCGAAAAAGCTAAAAGATTAGAAAAGCAGGTAAGTAGATTCAAAATAAAAAAAATGGATTATTATTTTTCAGAGAAGGAACAGAAGAGCCAAGATTATGTATAGCAAAAGAATCGGAAGAACGAAGACCATGATTAAAAGAAAGCCATGACTTGAATGGGTATTTCGGATTTGAAAAAACCTACGAGGGATTAAGACGAAGTTACTATTAGAAAAATATGAGTAAAGACGTGAAGAAATATACAAGAAGCTGTGATAGCTGTCAGAGAAACAAAAGTTCTACACAAGCACTAGCAGGATTATTGCAACCTTTAGAAATCCCATCACAATCTTGAGAAATCGTGTCGATGGATTTCATAATGCATCTACCACATACGAGAAATGGGAATGATTCAATTATGATAGTGGTAGATAAGTTGAGCAAAAAAGCATATTTTTTATCTACCAGAAATTCCGCACAGTAGCAGAAGTTACCCAAGTCTTTTTCAAAGAAATTTTTAAACACCATGATCTACCTCATTTTATAGTTTCTGATAGAGACCCAAAATTTACAAGTAAATTTTGGAAGTGCCTTTTCAAAATAATAGGAACAGAGTTAAAAATGTCAATATTAGCATATCCACAAACTGATGAACAAACAGAACATACAAACAGAATCCTTGAAGAAGTCTTGCGTGCCTATGTAAACTACAAGCAAGACAATTGGAAAGAAATTTTGCCCGCCGCAGAATTTTCTTACAATAATTCATTACAAGGATCTATGGGTTATACACCATTCCAATTAGATAACGGACACTATCTGAGGACACTATTAAGCCTAACAAATGAAAAGGTTAACCCAACAAATGTTAAAGCAGCACAAAAACTGTTCGAGTATTAGACCGAGATAATAAATATAGCAAAAGATTCGTTAGTAAATGCTCAAGAGAAACAAAATAATCAAGCCAACAAAAAGTGACGTTATCTAGAATTAAATGAAGAAGATTTAGTATTATTGAATTCGACAAATATAATTCTACAAAAAAGTGCAAAAAGAGCATCAAAGAAACTTAGCACAAAACTCATAGGACCCTTCAAAATCGTTCAGAAAATTTTAGCAGTAACATATCGATTAAAACTCCCAGAAACACTATGTATTCACACAGTTTTCCACGTATCCTTATTAAAACCTTACTACCCTAGTGAGTTTAGAGATTAAGTAAGAAAAGAACCTCCAGAAATTGCAACCAAAGATCCAAAAGAACACGAAGTCAAAGCCATACTAGACAAGAGAACATACTACCGTCACCTACAGTACTTAGTAAAATGGAAAGATCACCCACTATACAATGCTACTTGGAAACCCTTGACTAATCTTGAAAATTACAAAGACTTGGTAAAAGAGTTCGAAAAAACTGGTAAAACTGTTTTAAATGAGGGAGAGTGTAAGGGAACCATCAGGTTACATAATACTACACACATATCATGTAACGAACATGACTACTTAATTTGGATAGGTTTCATGTAACTACTAGAATCATATTGGTATTATGATCGTACTTCATGTGAAACATGATATAAGGTCAAAGTCATTTAGCATGATCGAATTACTAGATCATTTGAGGGTCGTAATAGCTATACGTTCGAATTGAAGTCATAATTATGTAATTGCTTTGTAATGTGCAATATAAATATGTAAAGAAAGCAAAAGCTAGTTAGGCTTTTCGCTGGAATCAAAAAGAATAATAAAAACAAACAAGTTCAATTTATTAGTTGTCATATAAAAATTGTTGTGTAACCTATCTACCCTTAATAGCTACGGTTACAATAACTATATTTATGATAATTTTTCAGACAAATTTGTCTAGAAGAGTCTACAGTTTAAGGGATAATATTATAATAATATTTTTCATAATTTTAACTTAATTGGTGATTTGCCAGTTAGCCAGTGAGAGGTTATAGTGTAACGTGATGCAGTTTACTTATAAAAATTAGGGTTTTGCGAATATGGGCTGCATCATTCTAAAACTTTTTTTCATACTAAG